TTGTAAGGTTGAATATGTGTGATGTCGTGATCGTCTCGAACAAGCAGGTTTGCCTCTCGGTTGATAAGATTTGATGCGTAGTAGGTGTGTGCTAGTTTTATTTTTTTGTAAATTACATATATGTGCTACCCTTTGATTGTATTAAGGTTTTATTTATTAAGTTTCATTAACAATGTTTTATTGTATTTTATGATGTACGATATTGATTTTGAACAAACGAGCAAATTGTCGGAGAGGTATAGAGTACAAAAGCATTACTTTCGGTAGAATATGACTTTTGAGCGACCCAGGTTCACATCGACACATGTTTGAGCCTTGCTGGGAAAAGATATTAAGTCTGTCCCAAGCCATTATTGTAGAAAATCGTATCAGCTAGAACTCAGGTGTAACGGCACGGAAAAAGTAATAAGTAAATTAAAATTTGACGTATGGTTGATCCGGTTTGAAAAACATTGTTAGCTGCTTTCGGGGGCGTCGTTTAATTTGAATAACTTTTTACCCGGGCTTGATATATTATCAGTCGTGGTGTGATGTACATGGCTCGGTGAATTTAGAGCAACCTTTTTAGCTTACTGAGCACCCATGCCCCTTTACATTACTTATTTGATAGGGTCACGTCGTTTGCTTAAACCATGCTTTAAAAGATTGCATGACTTTCCCTTAACAATGCTTAAAAAGCAAATCGAAACATTGAACATCGCGTGAAAGTGGAATTTAAACAAGGCCTAAATAGTTTTTCGTAGCTTTTAGTTTTCGGATTTGAAAGATCGTCGGTTGCAGTGGCTTGCTTACTAGGCAGAAAAACGCGGTCCCAGACCCTTTTATATTAAAGAGATTTATAGTAAAATCGCTTTTGTATCGTGTATTTTATTTCTGAATGGCTACAACAACTTCAGTGAGGGGCTCGGTGGCCTTAGAGCAACCGTTTTTGCTTACTGAGCAGAATATCATGAGTCTAATCTCAGGCCCATCCACATTCAAGATTCGTCAATTGATTTATTTGATTATGTAACTACATGGTAATAACAGCAACTCGATGATTAAAATGGAGCTCGTCTGCCTAGTGGCAAACGTTTTTGCTTACTGAGCAGAAGACCGTGGGTTCAATCACAAGTTCCTTCGGGTTATATGAACGTTAGGACATCAATTCAGATTATCGTTTACCAAAACGAACCCTGCTGCAAACCAAACCCTCTGCCCAGTGATTCCTCGTGGAAGTGCAGAGGTGTTGTCGGCTTCCATCAAAGCGAGTGTCACGTCAACACATTCCTACCCCTTCCTTTCATGCCTGTGTTCGGGCGCGGCCAGCGCTGGTATTGCCTAGTTTGAGATCACCAGTTTTTACACATTGAGGATGATTGCTAGTCTCAAGCATCGTCTATTGGTTCTATGTGTAATTACAGCTGGTCTGGCAATAACAGAGTAGCAACCGTGGGCGGTCAATCATGCTCATGCTTCCTAAATTCCCTCTTCTAAGGGTTTGACAATCCCCTGAAGTTCTCTAAACTTCTTTAAAATGCATGTGACTTATCTAATGTTAACGGAACTGCTCTAAGCTTCTGAAATTCTCAAAACTTCTCTAAGGTTTTTTGCAGTTTTCATGAAGCTTGTTGTATTGCGCTGAATTTAATTGAGCCATCCTAAAAATGTTTAAGCTTCACTGAACTTCTAAACCCATGGGAAGACCTTAATTAAATTTTTAACGTATCTGACGTTATCTAAAAATCTGGGAACTGCCATAAATTTTCACTAATTTTCTGAAACTAATGGAACTGATCTCCCCCTGAAATTCTTGCAATTTTCGAAGCTTACTAGACTTCTTTCAAATGCTCCCGCATTCTGCTCATGTTCATACAAATTCCTGAAGTTCGCGGATCTCCTCTTAAGCTCAATAGATTTCTAAGAAGTTCTCGAAATGTTTCTGAAGATCACTGTCCTTCTGTGAAGATTTCAAAGTTTTTCTAAGCTTCTGGAACTTGTGTGCTCCCGCAATTTTCATGGAATTAGAGCTACATAATTAATATAGTTCTATGATTTTCTCTGAAGTTCTCAAGATTTTTCTGAAGTTCATGAAACTTCCCATAAATTATTGGCACCAATTTAAAACTTTTTCAATAGTCTAGACTTTCCTGGTGGTATTAAAACTGCCTAAACGATTATTGAATTTCCTCCAAGCTCTCTAGACTGCCCTGAATTTATCAGTATTTTTTAAGAACCCGCAACTTTACTGAAATTAAATGATTTGCCTTGAAGTTTCGACAATTTTCTTAAGTATTATAATAACTATAAACGCTCACTAGTTTTCCCTGAGCTTATCTAGGCTTACCTGAAGTTCTCTAAATTTGTTTGATAATCCTTCAAATTTGCTTAAGTTAATGGGATTATTCTGAAGCTATCTGATCGTCCTCGAAGTACTCGGAACTTCGCTGAATATCATGAAACCATCTAAAAATATCTAAATGTATTAGATGTTCTCTGGATTTCTTTGAAGCTTGTTAAAAGTTCTCGCATTTTTTTAATCAATGGAGGAACTTCGTTGATGTTCTCTAATCAACTAAACTAAATTTTTGCATTTTGTAAGTTCTTGAAATCTCCATGATATAACACCCTTGAAATACTCTCACGTTTCCCGGATGTTCATATAATTTTTGCCACGTTCCATAAATTCTCTCGGTGCTTTGCTGAAGTTTCCGGGGATTCTCTGAATTTCTCGAAACTTCTTTAAGGTTTCTTCAATTCCTTGAAATTATTTCTCTGATCTGTCTTGATGTTCCCGAAGCTTCCCTAAAGCTCTAAATTCTATTGAGGATCCCAGTTCTGCTTGGAAAAAATTGAATTCCCGTAAATACCTTTAAATTTTCCTGAAATTCTCTGGGATTTTGTGAAGCTACTGAAATATTTCTGAAGTTTTCATAATTACATCCCTGAATCGGAACATCTTAAGGGTTATCGATTTTTTTTTTCAGCATTTGATTTTTTTTTTCTAAATTTACGATTATAGATCTTTAAACTGCTCCAAAAGTCTGGACTAAAGCTACGGAAACTGCTCTTAAGATCTGAAATTCCCCAAAGATCTCTAGATCTAGCTTTTCTGAGGAACTTAGAACTGCTCAAAAATTTGCACAATACCCCTCAAGTTTTCTATATTTCTCCAGTTCGCTTGACACCTGTGAAGTTCTCTGAAATTCTAGGAACTTCATAAATGTTCCGGGAAATTTTCGGATGCTAAAAGAACCGCTTTGAGGTTCCTAAGGTTTCCAGCCAGTTCCCATATTTTCAGCGTATTAACTTCCCTTATGTTCCCACAGTTTGTTTCTGGAGCTTCACTGAAATTCTCAGCATTTCTTTTCATTACTCAGAACTTCTCCAAAGTTCCTACTATTGTTGTGAAGTGAATGGGACTGAATTGAAGATCTTGAAAGTATTTCATCATGAGACTCCAATGATTGCCTTGATGTGTTTTTCATTAAAAAATTATACATAGGGTATACGTCCCTAACCTCGGTCTAATATGCAGCCATAGATTACGTTTTTAATCATAACTCATCAATTAATTTACCTGCAAACGATATTCTACTGCTAAATGGTATGCTTAGATATGCTTATCATGTCGTTTGCTATCAGGAACCGCAAAAAGTTGAAAAACTTACTTTTTTTAAGACAAAAACTCACCAGGGAAATGTATGTAATATCGGTCTATTGTCCCCAAATTGGGTCTATTTATGGATGCAACTTCGTCCTATCCTGTTTGATTCTCAAAAAAAACGCTCTTGGTAACGTTTTCTTATGTATTTTTTTTTTATCACTATCACTGTTAACTTAATACTCTTCATTCCTCAAAACATTTCTTAGAGAAAATTTTACGAAAACTACATTAAATCACTCAAGTTAAAAATTAAAAATTAAAAATTTCGCTTATCGTCTTTCGACCGCAGAATATCTAAATCAAAACATTGTGATGTTCATTATACAGATTTGGCAGAAAAAATCTCCCTTCCTGTTCGTTCCTTATCATCCAAATGCAAACCACATTGTTGACGTTACTCTTATTGCTATATGCTGTCAAATGAATTTCATGGGCCAAAGTTAGGAACATAGAAAAGAAATGTGTCCCTAAAGTTGGGTCCATGATTTACTTGTGAAAACGTTGTTAAACAATTAAAATAAACATAAAATATTCAAACAGTAACTGTGAGTTTTACGTCTAGTGTGTATTATCAGGTAATTCCATTCAATAAATGCCATAATCAGGCCATTTGATGATCGTCAGTGCAACCTTCCCATCTTAACCTTAGAAGTCATGGCGGCTAAAAACTCCGAACAGAGTGATATTCTCAACCAGTTTTATTACTTACGAGAGCTGAAAATGTATTGAAATGTTGTGATATAAATTGATTTGTGTGTGGTACACATTTATCAATCATCAGTGATCAATATTTTCCTTATTTTTTGTGTAATATTCCTTAATTAATTATTTATTTGCGTGATAGGCCGAATGAAAGGACTAGACCCACATTACATACCGTAACCCTATTTTACTGCATTTCAATTATATAGAGCTGACGTTAAGAAGCATATAATATCAACATCCAAACAAAGGCCCATAGGACTGCAACGATTGAGGTCATTACCATTAAAGTAGCATTTTTCACAAAACTAAGTGTCAATGAATCCGAGTTATTTAATAAATTGCGGTAGAATGTTTCAAATATCAAGAAATCCAGGGATTTTGCAAAATTACCAGTAAATTTGAACAAAATTGCCTACATCTCTTTTTGGCGTTTCTGCTGAAAATACTTTTCACACAAGGGTTTCAGCATCTGAATCGGATGCAGGGAATCCACATTTAATAAGAACAATTACTAGAAACGCACTGGGAAGCCATTTGAGAGGTAGATCAATTTCATCCCATATCGATATGTTCAAATTTAAGATTTCAAAAATTTCCGTCAGTCAAAGTAAATCATCCTGCAATCAATTTCATGCCACAAAACACTTGCCTATTTCCGAAGCGTGACTTCCAGAAGTCCGCCGCATCCGATTTCGTGATGCGGAACTGATCCCCGGCGAACAACCCGTTCGGGAATATCGCCTTCAGTTCGCTCAGCATGTGCGAAAACACCAAACTCAGCTTGGTGAGATTTCTCCGGTAGTGCGAATTCTCGTCGAACATTTTCTCCTTGCCCTCCTTGAACAATTTGATCGCCTGTTTGCACTTTCTCATCAGATTGTTGATGAAGATGTTAAAGTGCTCGTTCCCGTGCAAGAGGTGCATCTGATCTTCGTACTTGGAGTAGATCAGATGCAACCGCTGGTACGTATCCGGCAGGATGTCCAGTATGAAGGGGGGCGAGTTTTTCAGATTCATCTTCGACTGCTGGCAAAGCTTGACTACTTTGTCCATCAGCTTCCAGGTCTTCTCCAGGGTCTTTTTGTCCGTTAGGAACTTCTGCTGGGCGCAGGCATCGGAGATTTTGCCCTGGATCTTGGAGAAGAACGAGATGTTAGTTCTCGGCTGCGGACGAGCTCGGTTAGTAGCCGCCATCTTGACATTTATCAAAACTTTCAACCACAACAACACATATACGGCCCTCCTCCTGTTGTTCGGGGGCTCTGGCCGCACTGAATCGCACTCTACTGCCCGAAAATAAAATAACACTCTTCGAACACTTCTTCGTTCTCTTGCTTCGTGCTGGACCACTGAGTGAAAAATCTCCCCCGAAATCCCTGCTTCACCAGGGTTGAGATTCTTCGATTCCACGGCTTTCACTTCCGGCGAACACTTGCGATCGCTTCTTCACCAATCTTCGTACATTTTGAACGACCGATTTTCCAACGCAAACAAAATATTTCACGGCGATAAAAATGAACAAAATACGCGACACAACTTCTTCCTCTCACTGGCCAGAGGATATATACAGAGAACAAACTACGAAACCCACAAACACTATCACACCAATACGTCAGTGCCGCTTCACTGTATTACTGACTGCTTCTCCTGCTGATATTCTTCCTCGCTTGACACTTTGCTCCTCAATCACCTCTTCTTCTCATCCCGCTCACACTTGTTTGACGTTCAGCCGAATGCTTCTTCCGCTGCCGCCTTCTCTTCGCCCACACACTTCCTTTGGGGCAATATTTACCAACACACTGGCACCTTTCACGAATGCAATCAGCCTCCACACACACAAGCGAAATATGACATATGCATAACAACACAGTTGACAGAAGCCTTTCCCGTACCTTCTATCTCATCCAGCTTCGACTGAGTGATCCTGCACCCTTCGAGTAAGAGCGAGTGCGACAAGATAACTGTTGTTTGCACACTGCTTGCACTACCTGCTGGTGCACTCGCGATGCTCTTTTTAGGACAGTGCACTTTCTGATTGGGAAATATCGCAGCCTAATGCCACTTTGCGTTCACCACACCAGCACCAGACTGCTCGCTATACCACTGCACTATATGTGCCAACTTGTGTTTCACGTTCGCATTGATTGCATACTCAAAGTGCTACGCAATGCGAGTTTCGCTTCTTGTCCGACATTCGTTCACAGAGCACTGCACGAAGCGAAGATTTCACAAGCAGTCCGACGAAACACGGCCACGATGACGATCCGACCCGGATTGCAGTAGCACAGCAGCAGATACAGATACAGATGGAGATGATAGCAGCGTAACCCGATGATATGCTATCAAACAGCGACGATCCATCGTGAAAGCTCGAAACAGACTGAAGAAGAGTGTGAACTTTGCGTGAGTCTGCCTTGCTCGTTCTCGTTGTTTGGGTTGTTTGCCTACAAAACACCAACACACTATCGCGGGTTGTGGCATTGGAAAGTGTTTGATGCTTTGCGATTGTGTTGGTGCCCAGGGGAGACTTTTGCTTGTGGAGATTTTCTACGCCGTACGGTTGGTAGGTGTACTGTGGAGAGATGTCAAATCCGTACGAGGGACTTTCAGCTGGCGGACGATTCCGATTGGTTCTCTTCGTTCTCTTGCTAGGCTGGTTCGATGTTCTAATTGGAATCCAATAAGGCTGTCCACGAGACAGTTGCGATCAGCTTACTTTTTTGTTTACCAAGAACTTTTGACAGATAACAGTAGAACTGACAGTTCACTCTCATATGTATTTCATCTTTGTTTATGTTTACATTCAGCACCAGTTACACCAGATGTTGCTACGAAACTTTGGCACGCAGAAAAAAAAAACACAGGTGTAAATTAACAAAATATTTCGTTATTATGTAATACGAAATTTCTATTTGTTGCAGTTCACTAAAAAGATTCAAATAAATACAGAAGTTCTTTCAAAAATTGTTTAAAATTGTTTTTTTTTCAATTGTATAACTAATTATTTTTAAGTGCACGTTTCAACAACATGTGTCAGCCTGTATCGATCGGTTGTGTAATATCACATTGTACGATGTACATCGATTTTGCGAACAAAATTACATCCATTGATGTAATATTGTATCTGCTATTTGCTATTACATCATTATTTCATACATCACACAGCAAAAAAAAATGTAATATCGATCAACGTAATTCAAGCTGATGTATGAAATAATGATGTAATAGCAAAAAGCAGATACAATATTACATCAATGGATGTAATTTTGTTCGCAAAATCGATGTACATCGTACAATGTGATATTACACAACCGATGGATTGACCTGGTTGCATCAGTTTCGATGTAATATTCAACAACTTTTTTTGCTGTGCAGCTTGAATTACGTTGATCGATATTAAATTTTTTTGCTGTGTACTATTCATTTGACTCATAAATTTCATGTGTGCTTCTGGGTGGATTCTGTTTATGTGTGGTCACCTTGGTGGTCACATGAAAATCAAGTGGAATTTTGCATGAAAATTCGTCAATAAAAATGTGTGGAATTCTATAAGTGTAGTTGAAAAGTTCTTCCTTATGGAAAAGCTGCCTTAAAACTTTGATAATTCCTGCTAAAATTTAACTGAAATGGTTATGCAACTTTACATGAACGTTTGTGTGATAAAGTTTAAACACAGACAAACAGACGTAACACTTCATTGTGTATCTTCGTTCACGCATTTAACGGTTGATTTAAATATTATCAGTTTCGCGAACTACTCGCCGCAGCGCTGGCATAGGATAACTTTGACGTTTCTATTCATTCTATAAAACTTGTATGCAATATTGTTTGCGAGTTAGCGAGCAATCTTGTTTTCCGCGAGAAGCCAGAGAGATGTCGCTACTGAGGTCCTATGTTTTGAGATACTATGTTTTCAAGAGAAACTTTTTCAAAGAGTTACGTCCGTTTGTCTGTGTTTAAACGTCATGTATTATGTTTTTTTTTTTAAATTAACCTTACAAATAATGGGTTGTTAAGAACCGTTACCATTTAAAATAGTTGTTTTCTCCATACATTTTCGGAAAGAAAACTATTTATATTAGAACATTTTTACTTATGGTTTAAGAATTTTAATGGTAATGGTTATGGTAGTCAGTAAGATCCATGGATGGTTTTGTATTGTCAGTCAACTTTACGTGAAATATATCGCGAATTGGTAATCAATAATTTACAGGCAACCTATTCGCGATATATTCCACATAAAGCTGATCGGTGTTACAAAACCATCCATGCGACCTACTGACTACCATAACCATTACCATTAAAATTCTCAAACCATAAATAAAAAGGATCTAATCAAGAGCAAATTTTCATTATGTCGTAAGTAACATTCGCACCAATCCGAGAAAAATAAAGGTTTTGTTTTGATGACCGAAAAGTTATTCCTATTTCCAATTAAACACATATAATCTCATAGTGATAGCAATGTTTAACATAAAGGGTGATACGGTCAAAATTTGGTCAAGGGAAAACGCGTGTAAATCGGTGAAATCGTTTATTTAAAAAATCAAATTAAATTTCTTTTTCAAGTTCAATTAGTATAAAATTCAGGAAAAATATTCAGTTAGGCTTCCGCTTTTCCAAATCCGAATTGCCGGGCCTTACGCTTGACCCCTGCCATCAGATTTTGTACAGCCACCTTGTCCACCTTCTTCGCCGCAGAAAGCCAGTTTGCCTTGAACTGCTGCTCGCCCTTAGCAGTTTTTTTGGTCTTCTTTAGGTTCCGCTTGACAATAGCCCAGTATTTCTCAATTGGGCGGAGCTCTGGCGTGTTGGGAGGGTTCTTGTCCTTGGGAACCACCTGCACGTTGTTGGCGGCGTACCACTCCATGGCCTTTTTACCGTAATGGCAAGATGCCAAATCCGGCCAAAACAGTACGGAACAACCGTGTTTCTTCAGGAAAGGCAGCAGACGTTTATTCAAACACTCTTTCACGTAAATTTCTTGGTTGACAGTCCCGGAAGCTATGAAAATGCTGCTTTTCAAGCCACAGGTACAGATGGCTTGCCAAACCAGATATTTCTTTGCGAACTTTGACAGTTTCATGTGCTTGAAAACATCTGCTACCTTTCCCCTTCCTTTTGCCGCATAAAACTCCTGTCCCGGAAGCTGCTTGTAGTCGGCTTTGACGTAGGTTTCGTCGTCCATTACCACGCAGTCAAACTTCGTCAGCATCGTCGTGTACAGCCTCCGGGATCGCGCTTTGGCCGTCGTATTTTGTTTATCATCGCGATTTGGAGTCACTACACACAAAAAACAAAAATTGTATCAATAAAAATCATGCGTTTTCAAAATAAAAGTTTCCCAGCTTTGATAGTTTTAACCATGAAAGTTTTTAAAACAAAAGTATTTGGTTTGGTTTGAAAGTGTATTTTTCACTTTTGACTTGTATTTTTAAAAGCGCATATTTTTAAAATGAAAATTGTTTAACTGTCAAAAATACCTTGTCATAGCAACGTTTTTGGCAGTACTGGACATACATTTGCCGCTAAATTTAACCTTAACGTCAAAAGTCGTTATCAATATAATGTTCCTTGTGTGGAATGAAACTGAAAATCAACATTAAATCCGCTGGATATTTCAGGCAATATTTTTACTATTGTCGGCGAGATTGTCGGTTACGGAATCCATTGTGACATCATTATTTAAAATTGTAAGTATTAAATTATCAATGTTATTGTGTGAAGTTATTTAGATTTTTTTTTCAGACGATGAAATCTACCAATGAATAGATCCGAATCAACCCTAGAATCAACAGTCAGCCGAAAAAATCCACCTGCAACTTTGTGATATCGCAATACGATGACAACGATTTTCTACTCACTGAAAACCTGCGGATGATGTCTTCCGAAACCCAGCATAATTAATATATTTGTATTCATGTGGATAGTAGTAATAAATATAGTTGTAGTCCTTTTTTAATTTATGAAACATTTGTTACTATCGATTGAATAAATATTTATTATAATTTAAAATGAAAATTAATATTGTAATGTTGAAAATGCTTGTATTTTAATTGAAAATATTTTTATTATAGATCCAAAACGGCACATGTTATTACAACTTTATCAAACTTTCATGACAAAGGTTTGATTTGATACAAAAATAATCCACTTTTAATTATAATACTATCCTGTTTTTCATTTGACAGTTCTACAATTCATTTTGAAAGTTTCAACTTTTAAAAGTAGCATGCGAGGAACTTTTGAATTGACAGTTAACTGATTTTTGTTTTGAAAGCTAACCGCTTTCTACCAAAAAGAACCAATGCAAACTTTCAATTCTACCAATGGTATTTTTAATTTTAGCAACGGTTTTTCTTTGTGTGTACCTTCTTGTAAGTCGATAGTCCGGCTCGTTTTTTGGCTCGATGCACGGTTGTAGACGATACACCCAGCTTATTTGCGGCATCTCGGAGAGAGAGGTTAGGGTTTCGCTTGAAACTACCGGCAACTCTCTTTGTCGTCTCAGCGGCTTCCGGTTTTCGATTTCCCCCCGATCCAGACTTCCTGGCTGTCGACAAACGTTCCCCAAATACTTTAATTACATTTGTAACGGTTGATTTGGCAACTTTTAGCGATTTTGCCAACTTTGCGTGCGAGTAGCTCGGATTTTCGCGATGCGTGAGCAAAATTTTGATACGCTGCTCTTCTTGCTTGGACGGCATTTTGACAACTGAAGAGTGAATTCCAAAATCAAAATAGGAGCAACATTCTACACACACTCACCTTCAAAATGAGGGGTGTTCAGGTTTTTTAAATGCAAAATTGAAAGAAATACGTCAAGTTGATATTGACCAAATTTTGACCGTATCACCCTTTATTTAGCCGGCTTTTAATCATACAAAGGCAAATCGCTAGCTTTCATGCTAAGAAATACTGGTTTTTGAGCTAAAGATATTATACGTCGTTTGGTGGCCCCTATTGTTACTTAAGTCAAAGTATATTTACCAGGATATTCGGGAGAATTATCAATTACGTCTCCTTACGTGCCGCCCATTCATCATTTTAGGACCACCGAAATCATCTTAGCAACAAACAGTTCGATTTATTCACTTTAATCATGAGAAAGCGAAACGACGAACGTACACTTTTCACGGGTTTCTCAGCGCTGTTACTCAAGTCAAACGGCATCTCCATAGAAATCGGGTGACTTAAGTAACATCGAAAACTATTTTGATCGGAAGGTGATTACGTCAAAAAGCAATTTGACTGGTAAATAAATTTAAAAATGAGATGTGATCCTATATTCGGACAGTATATAGTGTAATAGCAGGAGAATCGATTGACACTGATAGCTCGACTTTGTTTACCTTTGTTACTGTATGTATGTATGTATGTAAGGTAGCCACCATCCTTTCAAGAC